TAGGGGAAAATGTAATAAAATCTCTAAAATTGAGATGCATGACCTTTCTTAGATTTGCTCTCTCCAACACAGACAGTGTTTTGGGGTAGTCCAACTAGATTTACTGACATGCAACAAATTTGCCTGATTACAACAGATGAAAAATATTGCTTAGGCAATCGAAAGTGATAGCCGACAAGGTCATGGTCCTGATTATGGAATGCTTTTCAATGGCTCTCTCCTGATGCACTAAGTTGCTATAGTGATTATCCATCTGCTTTTACAGCAACTTCATAAACATCAAGGAAAGCTAATCCATTTGCCTGTAATATTAATTCTGAATATTAAACTGTTATATGAAAGAGGGTGATACTTGATGCTTCTAGTTCATTAAAGGTTTCCCTGAGCAGATCTGAAATGATATTGCAGGGCATTATGGGCTGTAGACAAAAACTTTTTCAAACCTGCTAAGCGAAGTAAGAAAATTACCAAGAAGAGCTGATAAATCTTATCCAGAATATCTGAATTAAATTGTTTGTTTGTATTATGTATACAGTCAAAGGAGACACTAAAGTGTAGTGTTTATTCTTTGCAGGGGGTGGGTATTACCATAATGCAGTCTAAGCACACAATTTTAGGATCATGTCTCTGTTTTAATTTAAGGAGCCTTGCATATTAGGACCTGCCATCTATTAACCCCATAAAGGATGTAGTCATCCAGAATTCAGACAATAGCACAAGCATCTCAGTGGACAGGGATCCTTCGTTCCCTTACCTTGTGTTTCAGTACCCTTTCTTTGTAACATAAAGTATGCACAATAAAATAGAAGAACCTTCTCAAGCTCTTGCAGAGCACTTCAATCAGCAGATATTGTTACATTTTGCAAGTAAACACCTCTCCATTGTTGCAAACATAGTAAGGTGGATCCTGGAATGACATATAACTACATAGATATATGTATGTTTGTGTAGGTAGTCATGCAGATAAAAATATTTTGCTTGTCCCTTTTAGAACATTGGCAGAGTTGTTTTAGCTCATACTAGTTATATATTTTAACTTGAAATTACTTTGCATAGGATTTTGGAAATAATAGCTAAGTTTTTCAGATAACTCATATTAAAATAAGTCATGCTGTGACAGATAATTTCAATGACAAAGAGACTTTCTGGTTTGTGCATGTGGCTTCTCACACAGCAGGATAGAATTCCAGAATTGGAGATCCTGAAAACCCCTGTGATGCAATGAATAAATAATAGTGGCTGATCCAAAACCAATTAAAAACAACTCAGCTTTAAGTCATGCTGAAGCACAAACAATAGGTTGGGTACAGATCATAGCATCTTGCAAGACATCCAGCTGTTAGATCTTGATAAATATATTTCTTCTTACCCAGGCATTTCATAGCTTATGGTTTCTCCCCAAGCTCTTTAGGAAAGTTGACAAGGGGCCTCTCAAGAAGTAAATAATGTCTCCCAGTCCCTAAAATGAAAGAAGGGAAAAGGAACAAGAAGTATTTCTTGGCAAGTTGTCAACAGCAGCTTGATATTTTGCAGCCTAGTCTGAGGAACGTAAACTACTGAAAGTATCTAAAACTGTATATCTTCGCTTAATACAGGAAGACAATCATAGTGGGACTGTGTAAAGTAGGATAATTTTAATTTATTAGAACACTAAAATGCTTAAGAGACAACAATCCTTTCTCGCAGCTAAAGACTTTTTAAAGATTTAAACCACTCAGGTAAACTGAATTTGTACATCACAGAGCAAGAACCCTGTCTCAACCAGGATTATATAACGCAAGGACATGTATACATAAGAGCGAATCTAGAGAGTGATTGCATTTTTGGGAAAACCGTGTCACCTAGGAGAACTAGCCATTCATATTTGCTTTTTTTCTTTAGTCAGTGCTAAAAACAGAAGAAGAAATGAGCGACAGCTTCTCACTAAGAGAAGAAATATCTGATCTCCTTACCCTGTTAATCCCTTCTCTTTTTTTTATTTTATAGAAAAAAAAAAGGCAGTAAGACTGAACCCAGAAAGTGGGCTTGTGAGAAATACATAAGATGTTGTGAATGAGTGGGTATTTGCAGGCTAGGGAGCAGGCCACTGGCATAAAGGACAACAGAGTACTTGGACAAGTATTCTACTTAGGAGATTGTGGATTTGCTTATGACAGATGGTCTAAGGGTTGATAAAATCAGGAATGTATGGCCATCTAACAAAGATAGCCAACTGTCCATGTTCTAACAGTAGCAGAAAGAAGATGCATAGAAGAGATAGGAAGAAAAAAGAACAACAGAAGATGGGAGCTTAGTGCCTTTTAGATTGCTGTCCTGGGTTCAGCAGTAGCAGTCATGTTTCTTCTTCTTGGTAGCTGGTGCAGTGCTGTGTTTTGACTTTCGGCCTGGGAACAGAACTGATAGAGATGTTTTGGTTTGGCCAAGGACTTTGTGAGCCTCATGCTCTGCCAGGGAGGAGGGGAAGCCGGGAGGAAGCAGAGACAGGACACCTGACCCAAACTGACCAAAGAGGTATTCCATACCACAGCACATCATGCCCAGGATGTAACTGGGAGTTAGGCGGAAGGGCTGGGAGACTGCAGGGTTGGAGGAGGTATGGGTCGGTGCTTGGTCGGGGGCTGGGGGGCCGAGTTATCGGTCGGCTGGTGGTGAGATGATGTATTCTCTTCCCTTGTTATTTCCTTTATCATTATTATCATTGGTGGTAGCAGTAGTGATTTGTGTTATACCTTAGTTACTAAACTGTTCTTATCTCAACCCGTGGGAGTTGCATTCTTTTCGATTCTCCTCTCCGTCCCTCCGGGAGTAGGGGGAGGGAAAGAAGGGGGGGAAGTGAGTGAACGAGTTACCTGACTGGGTTTAAACCACGACAATTGCAAGGCATCTGGAAAAGCATTTGGAGGCCCGGTGGAGAGAATATTTAGAAATGCATGCAGAGATGCTACCAAATCTAAAACAAGTGTCAGCACTGAGTTTTGTGATGCCTACATATGTCTGCCTGAGAATGATGGCAACTATATCCTATGATGAGGCATATAATTAGCACATCATGAATGTTTTTATCCACTCTGAGTTTGCTAAATAGAAAGCACTTAATTCAGCACAGGAGCTGGTATTGGGTAAAGACGGTATTGTCATGTAAGTGGAACACTAAACCAAAGCAGCAAGACAGAAATAGGTATTTACTTACCCATCCTGTTATTCAGGTACATCAAGCAGGGACTAAGAGGCAGTGGCTTATCTTTCTCCTCACTTAAGAAGAAAGATAAAAATTAAATTAACCTATCTCAGCTCAGAAAGTCTAACTAATTTTCTGTGTCTGGCTATCTTTGTAAAGCAAAGAAGTCTCCTAGCACAGGAGATAAATCAAAATCATCTGGGTTTGCACTGGAAACGAGTGGTACAAAGGCAAAATTCCCCAGATATAGGCCTGAAAACATGTTTTTTTCCCATCTATATGAAGGAAAACAAGTTTTTATCCCTCAGTGCTTTGTTGTAGGTTGTTACACTCCTGAGCTGTACTATGGGCATAGCTGTCATCAGCAAACAGCCTGAGCCAGTGTCACACCAGGATGAGTACCATTAAACACTTTCCTTTTACACAGTTTGCAAGCTCACAGTGTTTCATGTCATGAAAATATCAGGTGTTTGCAGGTACTCTCCCTCTTAAGTGGCCTTTAAGTCCATTCACTTGGAGAATTACATGTTAACAGTTTTCTGTGGTTAGAGATCCCCTGCAGCCACGTCAGATTTCTTGTCTCTTCACTGGCTAGCACTGGCACAAAAGGCTGTAGTTAGGGTTCTGTTGGTTTTTTCTCAACTACCTGTCTGTCACACCTGCTAGCACCTTGCACAACACTGAAACTGAACACTGAATAGTGCCTTTTGGTGATACATATTTTAGAGCAATGCAGCCCTTCCAAAGGAAAAAAAAAAAAAGTTTTGTTTGGGGGTTGTTTTGTTGGGGGGGTTGTTGTTTTGCTTTGTTTTCTTTTTGTGGCTGGTGTTTGTATAGCAAACTCTGTATCTACATCAGGAGTCTGAATTTTTCTGAGAACTCTGTTTACCCATGGTTCCCCTTTTGCACTTGATACAGGTCAAAAATGCTCTTCATCAGTAATTCACAAACTATAATGGAGCTAAGAATCATTCTTTATTTATAAAGCTTTTGTATTTGCGTGGGAATTTCAGGCTTGGTTTGTATATGGCAGGAATAATGTATGACAGGGTGTGAACTTCAATGGCTTATAAGAGTATGCAAGCCTCAGATATGTTGTTGAGTGGAAGACTGCGAGGCCATTTGCACAGAAGAGGAGGATTTAACTCATTAGCACTGTAGACTCATACACTATGTGACTGCTTACAGAGATATATTATTTCCACTACATTGACCCTGTCAAAAAGTGTAGGCTTAACATCTCTTCTGCTGGTCCCTAAAATGTTAAGACATAGTCAGAGAATATGTCAGAGAATAGATCCATCAATATTGCTTTCCCTGAAAATACCTCCCTGCTTGGAGCTAATGGCCACTTTCAACTCAGCAGCAGTGAGAGCCTAGCTGACATCATATGGCCCCAGGGTCCTCAATATCACACACTAGGGCAGGGAGCAACCCAACAGAATAACTTTGAAATGCAAGAGGAGCTAATGCTGTGTCTATATGGTATGGTCTTGTCTGGCTGCAAGGATATCAGAAGTCATTGACACTAATTTTGTGGGCTGTGATGTACTTGCACAGACAAGACCAGAAGATGCAGGCACATGTCTGGTATCTTTAGGAGCTATGCGGCCAAGTATACACATATTTGAATTATGTGAGGAAACATCTTACATTATAGGGGTTTATATGAATGCATGACTACGAATTAACATCTAGATGACAGGAAACAGTCCTTCACCTCTGCTTTTCTCTCCACTGAGGACTGGCCAAAACCTATGGTTTAGATGATGATCTGTAAGTGAAGACAAATATTACTAACGTACCTCTATGTTCTCTACAGCTGCCCTTGTAAGAGATCAGAAGTCCTTGACCTAAAGATGTGATTTATGATAAGAAAACTTGAAGCCAGCTGGATTTTACAAAGTCCATTTTGCCATTCGTTAGCTGACCTCTCTCTAGAAGAACACAGCAACAGCTCACATCATTGTTCCTGCATATAACAGAAGCAAGCAATAGAACTCCCATCAGCTTAATCCCATTTACAGTGAATAGAGAAAAGGGACTTTTTCAGCTGTCTAACTAAGCAAATGAGAAGCTGAATGATATGTAACATTGTTTACTGTAGAAAATAATATTATGTAATCATCAGTCATGCAGTTTGCAAAGACAAATAATTGGTCTGCTGAAATTAATATCCTACTGCTTTGAGGCCTAGCCTATAATTCTGCCAGGGGAAGATGAACAAATTAAGCTATTCAGTTGACACGTGGAGCTTAGCCAGGTCATCTCCCCCAAATTTCTCTGTTACTCAGTGGAGAGACAAATGCTCTTCCTAGCAGCCACAGAGTACCAAAATCTATTTCCTCCACTGAATCACCTCTGGGAGAAGCCCATTTGAAGTCTAGTTGCTCAAAATTGGATGATTTTAGTATTTCCTTATATTCAATTACACTTAAATTTAGACAGCATCTCAGTGAATACTCCCTGATATGTTTGTCATCAGTTTCAGATTAACTCCTTTCCAGAAGAGTAGAATCAATGAGCTAGGGGCTGATGTTGCAATCCTGGCAGTCAATTCTGTGTTCACAAAAGAAGGGAGAATGGGGATGTTTCATGGTGGCAGTCCAATCAAGGAAGTCTTTACTTCTGCAGTCCCCAGCTTCCACAATGATGCTCACCAGGGAAACGCAACAGGAAATGCTGAAATTGTGTGTTCCTAAACTACAAGATACTTACTGGAAATCTGCACATATTCGATGGTCAATCATCCCATTAAATTATTATTTTATTTTATTTTTAATTCACAGTGCTGCTAACTCACCTTTCCTGCAAGGTCACTTTCAGCTAAATTGTTAAGTATTTTGAGAAAGCTACATATGTTGGATTGAGCAAAAAGAGAAAGGTTTGCTGTTTGTTTTTCATGAAAGACAGAAATACTGCTTGGTTCAAAGTCTTACCTTGAGTTAAGCCATTTACTCATGAGTCATGTGTCAGGACTTTGCTGAATTTCTCCAGGGGCTAACTCTGGGGTTATTTGAGCAGCAGATATTCTGGACCACAAGTAGAAATAGCTAGAGACTGATGAGAACTACTGAGCTTGAAGGAAGCAGACAGAGGGCAAGTCAGCACAGAATTACTGCTTCTTTTGTCTAGGGATCGAAATTGCCTGCTCTATCCCCAGTGCCTCTAGTCACCGGCTACACATGTAGTCTTACAGGCCTGGAGCTAACAAAGCATTTAAGTGTGTTGTCAGAGAGGGTTGAGACTGCACATAATTCACAGCTGATGACAAGATAGAAAAGAAATTACTTGCAGACTCAACCTGCAACGTTGACAGTCTGAGCAGAGGGGGTCATAGAGGAGACTGCTTTAACCAGATTCAAGTTATTCAACTTTTCTCTTCTGCCTGTTTCTAAGCAGAGAAGCTGGTAGTCAGGTAAGTTTTAAGGGATATAAATGAGCCAGCAGTTCCACTTTATGACTGTTTTTAAATCAGTCTTCTTTGTTATTAGGATTACCATATTCCCAGAGTTTTTAGTGGGAAGTTATTGAAGAAAATTAAAAAATAAGAAAGAAAATCTCCTACAAAATCATCTAAGCAGGACTAAGGGCTCTTGCGCTCAGAGACAAGGTGAATGAAGTATCCTACACTAAGGAGCTGTGCTGTTGTTCAGCTGCTAGTAGACAAAACCAAAAATCCTCCCCAAACCAGTAAAAACTAACATTGAAAACAACACAGCAGTACTAAATTCATGATCCCTGCTCTGTCACAGGTTTTCTAAATAATCTCAGCAAGTTACTGAGCCTAGATACTCTAAAGTGTTCATAGGTGTCCAACTCCCAGGTATTTCACTGGGACTAATCATCATTTTGTGGTTCTGGGATTTAGTTTCTGTGTACCTCACATCTTCATTTGTGACATGGAGAATCAGGTTTTCACTGTATCTTCCCGTTCCCAGTGTGGCATTATGAGAGTGCAGAGCTGGTTAGCTGCTCTGCTGCGGCAGAGGAAACTTCCCTGGCCTCAGTCCCTCCCCTGCCTAACGTATCCCTGCTCAGCAAAGCACTTACTTAAGAACATATCCAAGCCCTTTTCTGAATCATAGCCTCTGGTACAAATTAGGGGAGGGCAGCTTTCATCATGTTCTTCAGACCTCTGAGAAAAATGAGAGATGATACTGAGGTGAAGTGACTCAAATTAGGAGGTAAGTAATCAATACCAATGCACATCAATATAGCACAATCCCAGATTCCTCCCATCTGAAAATAATACTCATGGCAATCATTTGAAAGCAGACCAGATGGAGGTTGTAGCAGCAGAGGAGAAAGAAGAGATAGTATCTTTCTGTCTTTAAAATCACAGAAGAGGCAGAATCTTAATTTACAAATAAAATATAATAATGTGCCTGTAAGTAAGCTGTACATTAATCAGCGGTGTTCTGCTCCATAGCAGAACTTTGTGCCTGTAGTCACTGAGGTTTTGCTATATTTGACAATGATATACAACTAATAGGTAAAACTTTAAGTACTATTTTCTAAATCTGTATTTATATTGACACAGATTATTTATCTTTTTGACAATATTAATCACCCAAAATATAATCTGTAAATTAAAAACTATAATATTGTTATCCAGAAATACTGCATCCAGCTGAGAACATTTGTCTTCTGTGTTGCTTCTCTAATAGAAAAAAGTTATTACATGATTCACTTAACTATGTCTGTATTAATTATGACACAATTTTGCCATAGTTTTCTCAGACTCCTGTAAATTAAATGAAAGACTTGACTCCTTGAGATCTTCTGCAGCTTCTGTTGTTTGAGATGGTGGTCTTTTTTGAAGATTAATATGTATTGCAAAGTGTTAGAATATACAAATATTTTAAAGCCCACACATCTTTACTAAGCTGTACAAAACAATCTAAAGCATCGAGCTTAAAGCTTCTGAGTAGCTGCGTTGATTAACATTCCCATGGGCCATTTCCATACTGAGGGCCTAGTATAAATTATTTCAATAATACATCATAGATGCTGTTGCTACTTTGCAACAATTTACATTTTCTCCATTTCTGCCACCAAAGCAGATGTTCTGTAGTTGGATCCAAGAAATGCCCACCTGTTGCCCTAGAGCAGTAAGCCACGACAGATTCCTTCCGGGACATCTTTAGGATCACATCACAATTCACAAAACTATCAATAGGAAAGGAAAAGAACTGATTAAACTTGCAGGCTCCTACTTGCCTCCAGAATCATCCAGTAGGAATTGTGAACATTTTCCTTGAAGCCTAAAAAAAAAAAAAAAAAAAAAAATTGCACCTCCCCCCAAAAAATCACTACGTTACCACTCTCTTAATCAGTTAGAATTTTATATGTAGCTGCACCATAGAACTTGAAGTCTTTGCCAACCTAAGCGCAAAATAGATTACAGAGAGAAACTGTGATTAATTTGTAATACTCAGGCCTACCATACTAAATTCTAATTCCTTTTCTTTCTTTTTTTTTCATTTTAATAGTAATTTTTGGCTGACAAATGTCAAAGCCCTCTGAAGATTTCAGAAAACAAGGTTGATCTTTAGCTTGAATAATGTTATGCCTATAGGTTAGAAATGATTATGAAGTGCCATGTAAAGTGACAGAATTTCTGTACTTTCAAAGTTCCAGCCTCTTTTTCAGATAATTTACTGTCAGTATGGCCACATTCTTTCTGTGGCATAAGGAATTAGTTAGCACTGGAAAATATTCTTCACCAAATTGGTTCTTTTAAATTGTTAACCCATTAGAACTGCCATGTAGAGAGCTGCTATAAAATAAAATAGCGTCTGTGATTGTCAGGTCCAGTTCAAAGACTAAGTAGGAAGCAAATTAATAGAAGCCAGACTTCATTTGTACTTCTACTGAGAGAGCAAGGAATTAGCTTTCAGATTTTAATTGTGATCACATATTCAGCTCTATCTTGACCTTTTTAAAAGTTTAACATCTAATTTAAACAGATACTTACAGATTTGCTCATGCTGTTTTGCCGACCACTAGCAAATGCATGGTCCTCATGTTTTGCAAGTTTCATAGATTCATAGAAGTCAATGGAACTATGCTTGTTTGGTTATTTAGACTCCATCAAATTTCAGAGTCTGGTAAAATCACTTCTATAAAAGAGCTAGGCACCTTTTTCTATTCAGGTTTTTGTCCCTCTGTGAAAGCTGCAAAAGAAAATATTCTCCATTAGAAGCCTAAACAAACCAAAATTTGAAGGCTTAGCTGACCACAGAACATTAATGGTTCTAATACCTTTCCATCACTACTCTTGTGCCTGCTGAATGGGACAGGGAAACCCTCCACTGGTCCCACTAATCCCAAAGCTGTATTTCATAGCGCGCTCTGTAGTCCAGGGATTTGACTCAGTAGCCCCTGAGTATGCTCTCTGAAGTTAACAGGATTTGTTTCAAAGAACTGAAAACCGATCTTAACCAGACTGATGAAAAAATATTTCAAAGCTACCTGGAGCTGTCATTTTTTCACCTTTTTGAATCACTTTTTTATTTTGTACCACAAGCAAATTGTAAATATCAATATCACTAATTATCTTTATTAGGCCTGATGCAAAAAATAACCATGTTACTCTCTTTTTTTCTGCCTCCTTTGGTTTATTCTTCTCCAACCTAAGGTTCAGCTCTTTTCACTGTACTCAAGAATTTTATTTGGATGTGAGACTCAAGGTGATTCCATTATATTAAATCATTATTTTATTATATTTGCTCTCCATGAGAGATTATAGTATTACTCACATGATTAGTTCTGCAAATCAGCAGTTCACAAAATTTAAGACCTTACAGAAGCAGTTTGTGTATACTTCATTTTATAAAGTATAGTCATGAATAGCTTTTGTTACACTATGTTAGTTTTCAGCATGTATGTGTGAGACAGTTGGGTTCTTAATAAGGGTCAATCAAAAGCCCTCCTCAGAAATCTCATGGTAAATTCAATGTCAATTTGATGTACGGACATAATACATAAACTATATTGAACACTAGAAAATATAAACAACATTGTAATGTTAAAACTTTATCTTTTTTCCTAAGATGTTAAAACAAAAGATTTCATAATTCTAATAGCTGTAATGAAAAACAGTATCTATGCATGCATTTGTACTCATTTTCTGTCAATTTATAGAAGTGAAGACAGATTTTGGCATATATACATGTATGTATAAACCTACAAATGAGGTATCTAGTGCACTGTGTGTTCATTCCATAGCTCAGCTAAACTGTAATAAAAATTCCAACTTTCAACTACCTAGTCAGTGTGAAAAGCTTTTAGTTACTCTTGTAGCTTCAGAAGATCATACTAGAAGAGGTTCTTTTATGAATGCCTCAGAGATGTGTGTCCATAAATCACTATGATCACAGAACTGAAATGATCATGTAGGGAAGATTAATATAGATGCAATGTAAAGCAAATATACTCACTTACTGCCTTAAAGGTAAAACACCAGAAAATATCATGAAAATAAACAGAATAAACGTTTGTGTGCCTGAGTATCTCTGGTGTTTTTAGAAAATGGTCCGTTTGGTTTGCTATTGTCAGAGTATTTTCAGTACTGTATCAACAATCAGTAAAGAACTAGTGAAAAAGAATTCTCTTTTTAATCTAGAAAAGAATGACAGCTAAGCACAGGAAAACAAAATCTACCTGCAGCTACCGGTGGGCAGCTCAACATAGCTTGTTGAAAGAATGGCACAGACC